CATTGATGCAAACTGACTTAAGACAGTGCAATCCTTAAGGTTCCTTTAGAAAATATTGATAGCTGCAAAAAGTTTTGAGGGAGATACAGTTTGTATATTTCTCCACAACATTGTTACTAGTTTATAATAAATTCAAATCTCAAACCAAATTATTAAACAAACACAGTTTACCAAATGTGAACAAAACTGTATGCCCAATTTCTTCTGAAAATTTGATAACATCCCCACTCTCCATCTTTCCAAGTGCCCTGAAGATCACCTTGCTTAAAAGGTTTACTTGAAACAATTGTAACAATAATCTGGAGGCAAGATTTGGCTAATACTATATCTGGCATCAGGAAAACAGAATTCTCCACTTCAGTGTCTGGACTCCAATGCAAGTAAGATTTAAGCTTCAAACTTTGTGTCCAAAGATGCTTTCATGCAAGGATGGGAGGTATCTCTAAATCTTTAGACAACCTTCATATATCATCGGATACCACTACTGTTACCAATAAGAACCTATTTTTAATATTCATTATGCTTTCATACAAGCATTAATTTCACAAATGAAGCCTCATTTCTTATAGGCATTTTTTTTGAGACAGAGTCTCACTCTCTTGCTCAGGCTGGAGGGCAGTGGCATGCTCTTGGCTCACTGAATCTCCACCTCCCGGGTTCAAGCAATTCTCCTGCCTCAGCCTCCTGAGTAGCTGAGATTACAGATGTGTGCCACCATGCCGGGCTAATTTTTGTATTTTTAGTAGAGACAGGGTTTCACCATGTTTGTCAGGCTGGTCTTGAACTCCTGACCTCATGATTCACCCACCTCAGCCTCCCAAAGTGCTGAGAGTAAAGGTATGAGCTGCCACACTCAGCCTATATGCATTATTTTAATCAGCAGAAATCTAACACTGATGAGATATAAAGATAGCTGAAGTCCTTGTAGTACATTTCTCTGAAATGTGGACTTTCTGATATATGCCAGGAGATCATCCCTGGAAAGTGAATTATCAATTAAAGGTATAACTTAAGGGTATAACTAAATAATACATACATAGTATCACATATCAATGTTGATATATTTTAAGGGTATAACTAAATAATGCATACATAGTATCACACATCAAAGTTGATGTATTTTAAAGTTAATTTAAGATATGTGAATCACTAGTCACAATAGCAGAAACATGGAATAAACCTAGGTGCCCATCAACAGTGAATTGGATAAAGAAAATATGCTACATTTGCACCATGGAATACTACACAGCTCTAAAAAGAATAAATTATGTCTTTGCAGCAACATGGATGCAGCTGGAGGCCATTATCCTAAGTGAACTAATGCAGAAACAGAAAACCAAATACATGTTCTCACTTATAAGGAAGCTAAACATTGGGTACCTGAAGACACAAAGATGGGAACAATACACACTGGGAAGTATAAAGGAGTGAATAGGAAGAGGGATTGAAAAAAATACCTGTTGGGTACTATACTTACTACCTGGGTAACAGATTCATTCATACTCCAAATCTCAGCATCAAGCAATATACCTTAGTTAAAAACCTGCACATGTACCCCAGATTCTAAAATAAGAGTTAAAAAAGAACAAAAATTTAAAAAATTAAAATGCAGTGGTTATTTTGAAATTTTCAGGGATTATAAGTGTTATGGTTTAAAAAGTTCAAGGTCAGGCTAGGAGTGGTAGCTCACACCTGCAATCCCAGCACTTTGGAGGGCCAAGGCAGGCTGATTACTTGAGCTCAGGAGTTCCAGACCAGCCTTGGCAACAGGGCAAAACATTTCTATGAAACATACAAAAAATTAGCAGGATATGGTGGTGTACACCTATAATCCAAGTTACTTGGGGTGCTGAGGTGAGAAGATTACTTAAACTCAGGAGGCTGAAGTTGCAGTGAGCTGAGATTGCACCACTACACCCCAGCATGGGTGACAAAGTGAGACCCTGTCTCAAAACAACAACCAAAAAATGTTTAGGTTCAGGTATTGTAGGATTCAGAACTCGTATTTTAGCCATATTGAGATTTAAGTAATTTTGTGTCATAATGAGGAAACAAAAACAACTATGGAGTAGTAGCTCCAGAATTTCTGATTCTATTTGGAAGGAGAGTCTAGGAAAGTTGTATGGAAGCTTTGTTTGCATAACAGGACACTTTTTGACTTGGATGTTATGCTTATTTGGATGGCTTTTAATATGAGATTATGGGTGATCTAGCTTTGGTATTTTCACCAGGCAAACTTGTGAAATATCACTCTTTAAAAAGCTGGGGTGGGCATGTGTTCTGTTTTTAATAATTCATCTGCAATATGTATAAGGCATTTATACCACATATAAAAGATTTTTGAATGTTCAGTGATTTTAATCTATAAGAGAGACTATTTATTTGATGAATGGGAACTTTATTGCAGAGTTGATTTGAGCTCCACAGATGACAGTAAGAGATTGTGAAAGTTCCTTTCATATAACACTAAACATGAGTGTATATTAGGATCTAAACATAATGACAGTTCTAATAACAAGTATGTTTCTAGTCTAACAAAATAATATTACTTTATATTAATAATATTTGTTTTTTCTAAGAAACTAGTAAATTGGAGCGTAACACAATGATCAATCTAAGTATTGTCATAACATTTATAGTTTCATTAGCCAATTATAATTTTTGATTGTGATTTTTGAAAGCTATTTATGAAGCCAGCTTAACTACTATAAGGCTTCACTTTTTCATCTATAAAACTATGATCCTCTCTTGAAAGAAAATTGTATTTGTAAATCATCTATGATGAAAGAATCTGTATAAAATTTGTAAGTTCTTCCGTAGGCTGCAAATTATACTGAAATTTTTAAACATATGGTTGTCAATTAGTGTGCTTTTTTTTCTTTTAAAATAAACACTTCTGCCTTCAAATCCTGCCCTTTTCTTTAGAAACTGAAGTCATTTGTTCTTTGTTTTTAAAGTCTTTAATCTTGAAAGCTATTTTAGATTTCAAAAGGCTTAAAGCTTTTATGTGGTCCCTTGGGCTTAGGCAAGAAAAGATTTTGGGATCACTAACATATGGAAGAGATTGGGTAAGATCATCCTGAGAGAGAAAATGTAATGAGAAAGAATAGGACAGAGGAAAGAGTTTTGAGGAATGCCAGCATTTCTAAAAAAGGAAGAAAAGGAGTTCACAGTAAGAGAGAAGGGAAATTTGGATATTATAACATCTTGAATGCCAAGGAAAAAGATGAGTGAGTAACCAGGGACACCACTGTTTTACATTTCTGGTTAGGTTACAGAAGGTGGAAATGACCATTGATTTCCTTGTAGCTATGGATAAACTAAAAATAATGTTTGATATGGTTTGGCTATGTCCCTACACAAATTTCATTTTGCATTCTAGTTCCCATAATCCTCATGTGTCATGGGAGGGACCTGCTGGGAGATAATTGAATCATGGGGGTGGTTACCACCATACTGTTCTTATGATACTGAGTTCTCACAAGATCTGGTGGTTTTATGAGGGGCTTTTCCCCCTTTTGTTCTGCACTTCTTTCTCCTCCCACCATGTGAAGAAGGATGTGTTTGCTTCCCCTTTTGCCATGATTGTAAGTTTCCTGTGGCCTCCTCAGCCCTGTGGAACTGTGAGTCAATTAAACCTCTTTCCCTTATAACTTACCTAGCCTTAGGCAGTTCTTTATAACGGTTTGAGAATGTACTAATACAATGTTTGTATTTTAAGTCATCAAAGAGTTGTAGAATCAAATAACCCTAAAGGAACCGAATTCAAAAATTAGATAAATTTATCTGGATTATCACATGTCAATGGCCACTTGGATTCTGAGGTTAGCCTGGAGATCTGTTTTCCCTTTGTCCCAACAATTTGGCAAAGAAAAATTGTTTCTTTGCCAAATTGTTGGGACAAAGGGAACAGCATGGTGGAAAACACAAGTTCAACAATATCAGTAATTACATTAAATATTTACAGAATTAAAACTCCATTTAAAGTACAGAAAATATCATGTTGGATTTAGTTTAAAAACAAGGCCCAACAAAACAGTTTATAATTGAATGTTCTTTTATAATCCAGCCTGACATTATCTAGTCTTTAAACATAAGAATGCAAAGAGTTCGGAAATAAAAGGATTGGGAAGCTTATAATAAAAAGATTAATGTAGCTATATTAATGTCAGATAAAGTAGACTTCAAGCCAATAAGTATTACCAGGAATAAAGACAACATTTCATAATAACCCAAGGGTCAACTCATCAGGAAAACATAATAATTCTAAATGCAAATGCCCCTAGTAACATAGATTCAAAATACTTGAGACAAAATCAAACAGAAGTAAAAGGGAGAACAGACAAATCCATAATCATAGCTGGAAATTTTAACACTCCTCTCTCAGAAATCTGTAAATAAAGCATATAAAAATATCAATGAGTATATGATGGATTTGAATAATACCTATCAAGCAGCTTGATGTAATTGAAATGGATGGTACAACATACTCAGTAATTGCAGTATACACGTTATTTTATTTTATTATTATTATTTTTTGAGACAGATTTTTACTCTTGTTGGCCAGGCTAGAGTGCAATAGCACGCTCTCGGCTCACTGCAACCTCTGCCTCCTGGGTTCAAGATTTTCCTATCTCAGCCTCTTGAGTACCTGGGATTACAGGCATCCGCCACCATGCCCAGCTAATTTTGTGTTTTTTACTAGAGACAGGGTTTCTCCATGTTGGCCAGGCTGATCTCTAACTCCCAACCTCAGGTGATCTGCCCGCCTTGGCCTCCCAAAGTGCTGGGATTACAGGCGTGAGCCACTGCACCCAGCCTATTTTATTTTTACTTATTTATATATTTTGTGAGACAGTGGAGTCTTGTTCTATCACCAGGCTGGAGTGCAGTGGCACGATCTGGACTCACTGCAACCTCTGCCTCCCTGGTTCAAGCAATTCCTCTGCCTCAGCCTCCCAAGTAGCTGGGATTACAGTTGCACCACCAAGCCTGGCTAATTTTTTTTTTTTTTGTATTTTAGTAAAGATGGGGTTTCACCACGTTGGCCAGAATTGTCTGAATCTCCTGACCTTTGATACACATGATTTTTAAATGCATTTTCAACACTCACCAAAATAGGCCATAAACTGGGCTATAAATTAAGTTGCAAAATATTTCAAAGGATTGAAATCATACAGAGTATGTTCTCTGACTTAAATAAAATTAAACTAAAAAATCAGAGTTTAAATAATCACTGGGAAATATCCAAATATTTGAAAATTAAGAAATAACTTTTAAAATAACACATAGGAGATATCATAAGGGAAATTTTAAAATATTTTAGATCAAACAAGGATGAAAATACAACATATTAAAATTTATGGAAGGCATCTAAAGCCTTGATAAGAGAAAACATTTTAATACTACATGCAAATATTAGAAACAAAAATAATTTTATTTAAAAAATTTAATCTTACACTTCAGAAAGCTAGAGAGAAAAGAGCAAATTAAACTTCATGATTGTAGAAGAAGAAATGCCAATGATAAGAACAGAAATCAGTGAAATACAAAACAGATGAACAATAGAAAAATAACAACAAATCCAAAAGTCAATTCTTTGAGAAGATTAATACAAAGTTGTGATCCTCTAGCAAGACCAGTTAAGAAAAAGCAAAAAATGTAAATTATCAGTGTCAGCAATAAAATGAGATATGTGACTACAGATTAAAAAGAATAAGAATAAATGGATAGTATAAACAATGTTACTCCAACAAGTTTGACAACTTGGGAGAAATATATATTCCTTGACAAATACAATTATTTGAAACTAATCCAAAAATAAATAGACACTACAGAAGTTCCATACCTGTTAATAAAGCTGCATCTACAATTAAAAACATTTCCACAAAGAAAACTCTGGGCCCAGATAGATTTACTAATGAAGTCTACCAAACAATAAAGGAAAAAGCAAGATATCCTGTACAAGGTCTTTCAAAGTATACAGGAAGAGAAAGTGCTTTCCAACTAGCTCTATGAGGCCAGAGAACCCTGAAACTAAACTTGGCAAGGGCAGGAGAATATGTCCATGGGTGCCCTTATTTGACCCAGTTCTTCCTCCTGTTTGCGATTCTGCTGAATATACTGAGAACACAACATTCTAAGATAAGGATGAAATGTCTGGAAAAAATCCAGCCGATGTCTTTGTTCCTCTGTATTAGTCCGTTTTCAAGCTGCTGATAAAGACATACCCAAGACTGGACAATTTACAAAAGAAAGAGGTTTAATTGGACTTACAGTTCTGCATGGCTGGGGAGACCTTACAAGCATGGCAGAGGCAAGAAGCAGCAAGTCACATCTTCTGTGGATGGCAGCAGGCAAAGAGAGAGCTTGTGCAGAGAAACCCCCATTTTTAAAACCATCAGATCTCATGAGACCCATTTACTATCATGAGAACAGTGCAGGAAAGACATGTCCCTGTGATTCAATCATCTCCCACTGGGTCCCTCTCATAACACATGGGGATTATGGGAGCCACAAAATGAGATTTGTGTGGGAACACAGAGCCAAACCATATCATTTCACCCCTGGCCTCTCCCAAACCTCATATCTCACATTTCAAAATCAATCATGCTTTCCCAAAAGTCCCCCAAAGTCTGAACTTATTTCAGCATTAAGTCAAAAGTCCACAGGCCAAAGTCCCATCCAAGACAAAGCAAGTCCCTTTTTCCTATGAACCCATAAAATCAAAAGTAAATTAGTTACTTTCTAGATACAATGGAGGTACAGGCATTGGGTAAATACAGTTATTCCAAGTGGGAGAAATTGGCCACAACAAAGGGGCTACAGGACCCATGTGAGTCAGAAATCCAGCGGGGCAGTTACATCTTAAAGCTCCAAAATGATCTCCTTTTACTCCATGTCTCACATCCAGATCACGCTGATACAAGAGGTGGGTTCCTATGGTCTTGGGCAGCTCCACCCCTGTGGTTTTGCTGGGTACAGCCTCCCTCATGGCTGCTTTCACAGGTTGACAGCAAGTGTCTGAGGCTTTTCCAAGCACATGGTGCAAGCTGTCAGTGGTTCTACCATTTTGGGATCTGGAAGAGAGTGGCTTTTTTCTCACAGCTCCACTAGTTGGTGCTCCAGTGGGGCACTGATCCCACACATTTCCCTTCTGCACTACCCTAGCAAAGGTTCTCCATGAGAGCCCTGCCCCTGCAGCAAACTTCTTTCTGGGCATCCAGGCATTCCATACATCCTCTGAAATCTAGGCAGAGGTTCCCAAACCTCAATTGTTGACTTCTGTGCAGTTGCAGGACCAACACTATGTGGAAGCTGCCAAGGTTTGGGGCTTGGACCCTCTGAGGCCATGACCCCTGCTCTACGTTGGCCCTTTTCAGCCATGACTGGAGCAGCTGGGATGCAGGGCACCAAGTCCCTAGGCTGCACACAGCACGGGGACTCTGGGCCCGTTCCATGAAACCATTTTCTCCTAGGTCTCCAGGCCTGTGTTGGGATGGGCTTCAGTGAAGACCTCTGACATGCCCTGGAGACATTTTCACCATTTTCTTGGGGATTAACATTCTTCTTATTACTTATGCAAATTCCTGCAGCCAGCTTGAATTTCTCCTCAGAAAACGGGATTTTCTTTTCTATCACATTGTCAGACTGCAAATTTTCCAAACTTTTATGCTCTACTTCCCTTATAAAACTGAATGCCTTTCACAATACCCAAGTCACCTGTTAAATAGTTTGCTGCCTAGAACTTTCCTCTGCCTGATAACCTAAGTCATCTCTCCCAACTTCAAAGTTCCACAAGTCTCTAGGGCAAGGGCAAAATGCCACCAGTCTCTTTGCTACAACACAACAAGTGTCACCTTTGCTCCAGTTCCCAACAAGTTCCTCATCTCCATCTGAGACCACCTCAGCCTGGACCTTAATGTTTATATTGTTTCTGGCTTTTGGTCAAATGCATTCAACAAGTCTCTAGGAAGTTACAAATTTTTCCACATTTTTCTTTCTTCTTCTGAGCACTACAAACTGTTCCAACCTTTACCTGTTACCCAATTCCAAAGTTGCTTCCACATCTTTGGGTGTCTTTTCAGCAGCACCCCACTCTACTGGTACCAATTTACTGTATCAGTCCATTTTCACACTGCTGATAAAGATATACATGAGACTGGGCAATTTATAAAAGAAAGAGGCTTAATTGGACTTACAGTTCCACATGACTGGGGAGGCCTCACAACCATGGCAGAAGGCAAGGAGGAGCAAGTGACATCTTACATGGATGGCAGCAGGCAAAGAGAGATTTTGTACAGAGAAATTCCCATCTTTAAAACCACCAGATCTCATGAGACCAATTCACTATCATGAGAACAGCATGTGAAAGACCCATCCCCATGATTCAGTCATCTCCCACAGGGTCCCTCCTACAACATGTAGGAATTATGGGAGCTACAAAATGAGATTTGTGTGGGGACACAGAGCCAAACCATATCATCCTCCTAGAATAGGATGGTCTGCAATGCTTGCAGCCAGCAAGCCAAATGGTGCCCAGGGTCTGCAAGCCCGAGAAAAGTGCTTTTGGGGACCGTCAGCTACAGTGTGATATGGAGCATGAGCATTCAAGACTCTGTCTATGCTGGACAGCTTTTTTGGACCTCTGGATCCTAGGCTTCTGTTTATTTTTGTTATCCATCTCATAGTAATATATCTGCTTTGAGTGAAAAAAGCTAAACATGAAAAGGTACATATTTTATTACTCCACTTATATAAAGTTCTAGAACAGATAAATCAAAGCAATGATAATAGAAGTCAGACTTTTGAAAAAGGAGGTTGAAAAAGGAAAACAGAATGTTCTGGTGCGATGAAAATGTTCTAACACTTGATTAGGGTGATTGTCACAGAGGTGAATACATATATTAAAAAGCTATAGAGACAAATTTAAAATTTATACATTCTATTCTATTTCATTTGTCCCTGAAAGCCCTGAGAAAAATATAAAAATGCTGCATAAAGTAAAATATCAGCACTGAAAATCATCCATTGGAAGGAGGTCACTGATTGCCTTCTTCAAGAATAATAAATGTAAAATCAGTATAGATAGCATAGAGAGGAAGAGATGGAGACACTGAATATAGTTAATTCTTTTAAGAAGATTTGCTGTGAGGAAAAGGAAAACAGATTTGATGGTAGCAGGAGGGAAATGTATATATTTATTCTTTGGGCCCAGAAGGGAAAGGATGCCTCACAGATCTGAAATTCTTTTATTTAATAGTTATTATTGAAAAACTAAAACTCAGAATATTCCAAGCATTTATTTTTTGTACAGTTTTAGATTTACAGAAAATGTAAGGGTATAGTAGACAGAGTGGTAGCCTGGAGTTCTATATACCTGCTTTACCCTGCCCCCACCCCATCCTGTATACAGTTTCCCTTATTATTAATATCTTGCATTAGTGTGGTATATTTGTTATAATTCATGAACAAAATTGCTATATTATTCTTAACTGAAGCTCATGGTTTACATCAAGTTTCAGTCTTTCCATTGTACAGTTTTATAAGTTTTAAAAAATGCATGATGTCATATATGTATTAATACCATAATAGTTCAATGCAGAATAATTTTAGCATCCTAAAAATCTCCATGCTTCACTTATTCATCCCTTCTCCAACTCTCTTTTTTTTTGAGACAGAGTCTCGCTTTGTCACCCAGGCTGGAGTGCAGTGGTGTGATTTCTGCCCACTACAACTTCCACCTCTGAGGTTCAACAGATTCTCCTGCCTCAGCCTCCTGAGTAGCTGGGATTGCAGGTGCGTGCCACCATGCCCAGCTAATTTTTGTATTTTTAGTAGAGACAAGGTTTCACCATGCTGGTCAGGCTGGTCTCAAACTTCTGACCTCAGGTGATCTACCCTCCGTTGCCTCCCAAAGTGCTGGGATTATGGGCATAAGCCAGCACGCCCAGACCCTCTTTTTGTTTGTAAATAGGAAATTGCCAAACTATCTCCAATCCTTTGAGGCCCTGGTAACCAATGATCTTTTTACTGTCTCCATAGCTTTAGCTTTTTATGTTACATAGTTGGAATCATACCATATGTAGTCTTTTCTGATTTGTTTCTTTTCTCTTAAAAGTTAGTTCTGCACATTTGCAGTCAATCTTTTCTTTTACCCTCAGCATCAGACAACTATTGATCTGTTTTCTGACTCCATAAGTTTGTCTCTTATAGAAATTTGATATACATACAATCATACAACATGCAGATCTTTAAAATGGCTTTGTTCATTAGCATATTTGTCAATGTCATATCTTTGTTGCATGTATCAGTAGTTTGTTCATTTTAATTGTTGAGTAGTATTCCATGGTATATATTTATTTACCGCAGATTTTGGAAGAAGCATTCTCATTGTATTTTTCAGGTTCCAAGAATTTGTTACTGTTGTCACCTCTCTTGTTTTGCTTGTGAATTTCTGTCTTTATAACATGCAGTTATAGTGAAGTTTTTGAGACACTGAAGTTGGTGGTGTTTGTTAAATTTGCTCTTTAAGAAATTTTCTTTTCTTTACTTCATAAGGTGATAGGTAAAGACCTGTTCCATTATTTTACTGTGAGGAGAATAATTACTACAACAATTCAATATTTAAAATTAAAATATATCTGGTAACTTCATCTGTCCTTTTATATATTTTAATAATTAATTACTTTAATGAGTGTAGAATATTCTCACAGCAACAAGCAAATTATCTTGGCCAGGATTATTACATTTAATGGTGCCTACTAATTATCTTAATGTGTTTGACTATGAGAAAGTATATGAAATTTAACCACAATACTGATGGTATCCCCACGGCACCTATTCCTTTATTTTAGTTTTGAGACAAGGTCTCACTCTGTCACCCAAGCTGGCATGCAGTGTTGCAATCATGGCTCCCTGAAACCTCCAACTCCTGGGCTCTAATGATCTTCCCACCTCATCTTTGAAGTAGCTAAGAATACAGGTGCTTGCCACTGTTCCCTGCCCATATTCGGTTTAAACATTTTCAGATCTTCTCTTCTAATTGATTATTGACTTCGTGAGAAAAATTTATGTCTTTATCAGAATTGCAAACTCCGTAAAACCTACAATAAGACTATACTTGCTTTGGGTACTCCTCATATGTCTGATGAAAGCACTAACTTTATTTTACATGCATTTTAAGAAGGAAAAGTTATCAAGGTTGAAGGGCATCATACTCAAATTACTTATATTTCATAGTGTAATAATTGATAGATAATCCAAAGAACCACTTCCATGCCATTTTTAAAGCCAGCAAAATTTTATAAAACCTTAGAAGAACTATTATGGTTTTCTTTTATAGAATTCTTATTAAAACAATCCATCTGATTATCATCTATGCACTTAGGCAAAATAAAAGCTTACTGGCATTATGTGTGACACAGTTCGTTCTGAGCTCTCAATTTTTCCAATTGTTGTGCCAAAACTATTTTAAAATGGCACCTGAGCCTAGCATTGCTTAATATGTTCCTTGGACCTTACTTGGTAAAAGATAAGTTTATGTTTTCAAGGCTGCCTTTTAATTTCTGTTTTTAGTAGAGTTTAATATGAATTTTTAAAACTTACCTGATGACCAATTCTAACAAGAATACAATGTTTAAAACCTGAGAATTTTTGGCTTTAAAAATGAAGTTAAAGTAAATAAAGTACAGAGATTGACTTTATATTATTTAAATAACTTTTTTTATTTTTAGAAATTAGATTTGAGATTAATCAATTCATGTTGGAATATACTTGGAATTTTTTAAGTTTTTTCAGAGACTATTTAAAACATTTTTTTTCAAATTAGAAGAATATTGTAACTGAGGAGTGTGATGCAATTCAATTTTGTAACTTTCTGTTTTTTTCGTTATTAGACCCAATTTGTGTTGTTGGAATAAATAACTTCTTAAAGAATTATTTTACTCAAAGTGAGGTCTGAAAATTTATAACAAGTTACCTGATTGTCTTACTATTTTGAAACGTAATTGGTTTGATTTATAAAAGATGGGCTGATGTTTTATTTAATGGGTTTGTTGTTTCTCAACATAGTCTGCCTTTTTAAAAAGATCAGTTTGTTAATTTTCCCCCCAGGAACTGTAGATATAAGAGTAAGGTAAAAATAATGTTAATAATGAAAATAATATTTAGTTGAAAACAACTGAAGTGGGTGATAGCATAGGCTTCTTCCTCCTCTGGCATATTAGAAACAACAGTATGGTTGAGTAAGAGTAATAAATAAACATAAGTTATGACAACTTACTTGTCAGAAACCATTTTATGAGCTTTGTGTGTAATAAATCATCTTCACAAGGTAGCTAATATCAGTATCACCACCATTTCATAGATGAAGAAACAGAGACAAGTTATTTGGCTGAAAAGATGTGAAAGTGGGCTGAGCATCCAGACAGTGTGGCTCTGGAGTCCACGAGCCACATCCCTCTACATCGCTGCTATAAAGGATAATTCTCCAGAAAAAAATGTGAGAGAAATTATACAAGGACAAGATTTCTTTCACATAAAAGATGAATAACGATAAACAGAATAAAACATAGTAATCATAATGGAGCAAGAATCGAACTAAAAGGTGCAAGCTCAATGTGGCTCTAGTTTACTAAGTTACTAAGCAGTGCTATTGTGAGATGTTAATCTTATTTGACTCATACTGAAAAGTAATAACTAAAAGCCATTAATAACTATAATAAAGAAAATAAATCTCTCTCATTAAAATCAAGAAGAGACACAGACTGTACCTTTCATACTTGCTAGTTTTTCATTTTAATTATTTGTTCTATTTACTGACAGTATTGTGATGGTAGAAGCAGGATGGAAGTGGAAGGAATTGGAGAATCATTTAATTTTGAAATGCTTTTTAGGCATGCAAATAGAGATGTCAGGTAAGCTGTTGGATAAATGTAACTCAAACTCAGAGGAAAAGTCTGGAAGCCTGGGCTAGAAATACAAATTTGGGGATCATTACAATGGTATTTAAACTCATGAAATTGGTTGATATTATCCAGAAAAAGGGTGAAAAAAGATAAAGAAGTCTCAGAGTAGGGTAAGAGGAAAAGTCAATAAAGGAAACAGAAATAGTAGCCATGGAACAGTGGGGAATTCTTGAGAGCAGGGACACAGGAAAGGAAAGTCAGCATGGTCAAGTATGCTTAAGGCTGCTGATGGTTAGATGATGTTAAGTCTATCCACTGGGCTGAGTAGCATGGAAGTCATTGGTGAATTTAGAGAGTAGTTTCATTGGAGTGTGGAGATAGAAACTAAGTTCATGTGTGTGGGAAAACTGTGACAAAGTGAAGTTAGAGAGGGCATAGTAGACTAATTCTACCATACTTCCTATAGTTATTTTTATAAGAAAAGCCCAACTTTAATCACTACCTTCCCCATTTCTATGAAACCATTTCCATGAAAACACACAATATTATCATATTTTCTCTGTATTTTTTTACCTCTCATTTGTTCATCTAGTTCATCTTTTCCTTCAAAATCCCTCGTTTGGATAACTCATTTTCTATTGTCATAAGAATCTTCTACTTTTTCAACCATGTCTTCAAATGTCATCACTACTGTCTCACCTTACCTGAAGTTGTTTATTACATCTCCCCTCACATGTGTAGGGGCCTAGAATGGGCTCATTATTCGTGTTCACTATTACCATTTCCAGGCAATACTCCTGCTCTTTTAATACTTATGCTACCTGGCCATATTACACATTTCTCTTACTGCCATATTTACTGATTTCCTTATCACTCGTATAAATTCACTGACATTTCAGAATGTGTAAAAGATTTCTTTTAATTTTTTTCAAAAATCTTTTCAAATAGATAATAGTTATCCAGAAATCAAAGTTAAAAATGTTTTTGTCTGCTTCTCATAGACGGTGAGAAATTTAGCAGTCCTCTCATAATCCTTCTCCCTCCCTACCCCATGTCCAGTTCTGACTAACGGGGTCTACAAAGCCCATCACAGTGGCCTTCGGCACCTGTAACTGGGTTCATTCTGTGCTACTTTCCTCCTTATTTTTGTGTCCTTCGGGCTGTTCTTTCTACCTGCAATAGTCTTCCTTATCTAGTCTCATTCTACTTCTTAAATCTGTGACTTACTACTCAGATCGCTATTCAAATGTCCTTTTCTAAGAGAAGCCTGCCTTCGACTCCCCAGATTAGGCCAGGTGCCCATCCATTGGTCTCAGTGCCAAAGGGTATGATGATTTTGAGTGAGCCTCAGAGTATCATACAGATGAACTCCAGACCAGGCCTAGGCAGATGGAACCATGAAAAAGGCAAGTGTAAGAGCAAGAGCTGAAAGATTGATTTGGTCTTCTCTATTTGAGATTGAAAGCATAACGTGTATTTCTTTCCAAAAGAGGTACTGAATGTAAACAAAAAATAGTAAAATGTATTTTATATATATATAATTCATCAATAAAATACATTTCAAGAACCTGACATTTAGATTATTCACTCAGCTATTTCAGCCTTCAGGTTAAGGACCTCCTTCATGAAAACATGGTTGGATAGGGTTTAGGTTATCTTTAAATAGCAAAACTCTGTAGGAGTCTGACATGTTAGCTCTTCTGCTTTTGATGACCCCAATACTCTTGTGTTTTTTTCCTAGAAATATTATTTGGGGCCAAAAGACAACTCAGAGAAACATTGTTTCAGCTATGTCAGACAGTAAAGATTTTGACTATGAAATTTTCTGCTTCTTTAACTGTCTCTGGATGTTATCTCTGAAAAGTAAGTTAACATATTTTCTACATAGAAGACACCAAAAATAGACAAGTATGGGAGAATAACGTGACTGCTGGGGGAGCTAATCTAGTCCTTCAGAAAATAGGGAGGAACTGTATTGTAAATTTTTGGTTATAAAAATACTCCACATGATTATTTTGATTTCTAGATTACAAAGTGTTTTGACAAACCAAAATTTTTCTCTTAATTTATAATCCACTTTGTCTTCATGAAACATTAATTTATGTCTAAATATACCTTTAACCCTAAGAACATTTAAATCCAAGTCTCTTTAGGGCGATACTTTTCTATTTGAAGTGGCTCTATTAAGTTTAGATTAATTGAATTTGATTAAAAAGGATCAAGTGGCCAAGAAATTGTAGAATCTGTAATTTTAGATAATCTTTTAATATTAAAATGCTTTCCTTTCATATATTCATAATTAAACTCTTGATTCAGTAACTTTCCATAATATCTAAATATTTTATATATTATTCACCCATCATCTCAAATCTGTTAAGTAATTTCTTAGTAAAGACAGGTGATATATTGGGTAATGACTAGGTTTATTGTTCAGCATTACAAAACTTGAAAATGAATCTACCTTCAGAATTATTTTCTTCCTACAAATAGGTGCCAATGGAGACAATAAACCTCTGGATACCAGAGAGATTAATTAGTGAGATGGTCTCTGGAGGTCTTCCCTATCAGTCCTCAGCTCTGATTTCTGAAAAAGTCCTCCAAACCAAAACGTTTCTTTACTTTGTGAATGTAAAATTCTTTTTATTTTAGAAAGTGGCCATGCATTTCAAGAGTTGGATTTAATTTATCTAGTTGTCTATTTAACTTTTCCATAAGTCAAGACAGAGGCAATTCTTTGGCTGGATAGCCTCAAACTGATGATGTCACCATTAACACAACAGCAATAACAACATATAGAAACTCTGTGGGTAAGGTAAACTGCAAATTCCTTGATTGAAGATAGAAAGTGATTATGAAGGTAGATGATTTTTGAAGTTTTGTAATAATAGGCAAGAATAAAAAACTCGCAATTGCCTATCGCCAGAAAATAGCATTGACCCTGTTGAAGCTATTTGTTGGTATTAAATACACACGTTATAGATCTTCATTTTTTAAAATATTTCCTGCCTTTTTTTCTAACAGTTGAAAGCAGAATAAACATTGTTTTATTTTTTAACACTGAATATGAAATACTTTTCTTTTTCCATCTATTCTAATAAGATAACCACCAGGCAGTACATATTTAGAGGCAGAAAAAGTGATGTCTGACTAAATTATTTTCTTTGAGTATGAAGAGAAAATTTGCAGGTCAAAGAAACCTAGGTGTTATGTATTAGTTTATAAAATTTAGCCAAGTCATTGAATTTCTCTGGGCTTCATTTACATTATGTATAAAATGAGAAATTTGGACTGAATTATTAACTCTTCCAGTGCTGGAATTCAATTACTATTTAATTACCATGGGTCATTTTAAGATTAAAAATTGAATTAGAACAATAAGTCTTTAACAATCATGAAAGAGTTATTAAGCATTTAATTTATGCATGCTATTTAATGTTTTTCTTCCATAAAATACAAAGCATTATCTACCTTGAACTAGAGTATATTCAAAAGGGAAAAGTCAAATAGACAACGATGTAACATGTAATTCATGTTTTTCAAAAACTGGTTAGTTTGGATCTGACCACTTTGAAACAGTTGAAATATTTTGCCACTATTAATTTAATCTCTCCAATGATAAGCACCTCAAATTACTTTTTAAAAAGTAAAAAATGGATAGAAATAGGTATTTTTGTACTTCTATTTAGGTCGGCCTGCTTATTCTTGAAATAAAGTTAATTTTTTAAATGACAAAAAACATTACATTTTTACTGGTATTATTTTATATGACAGGAACAATTGTAAACAAATCTTATTTACAATTGGGTAATCCTGAGAGGACTAACCATCTTTGGAGTGTGACTGTATATTTAAGGTCTCTTCTGATTTTTATCAGTTAAAATGAATGTGACAACATAATAAAAATTATTGTTGAATTATAAAATACATTTCTCGTAGGTGTATGGCCCTGAAAATATATATGTAAATCAATTTTTCTCAAACTGAATCACATTTCAAATAGTTTATGAAAAAACTGCTACCTAAGTAAACTAGTAATTAATTTGTTAGGAGAAGAAAATACTGAGCTAATTTTATTTTTTTTTTTTTGGAGACATAGTCTCACTTTGTTGCCCAGGCTGAAGTGCAGTAGCACAATCACAGCTCACTGCAGCCTCCACCTCCCAGGTTCAAGCAGTTCTCCTGCCTCAGCCTCCTGAGTGTAGTCTCCTGGGACTACAGGCACCCACCACCAGGCCCAGGTAATTTTTTTTTTTTTTTTCTGGTAGAGACACAATTTTGCCATGTTAGCCAGGCTGGTTACAAACTCCTGAGCTAACTTAATATACAATTAGATTGTAATTTTTTTCTAGTAATATCTAAAACATAAAAGGGGATCATCTTAAAATTAAAAACTCAACTAACTTCACAATTAAATATGTATTTTCTCTGTTGTCTTTTTGGCTTGAAAAAAATTAATTCTATACAAAACATATCTCAACCACATTCTCACTTACTCTTGCCTGTTTTCCTCCCTCTGTGGCCACTCCAGCTTTCTTCCTGTTGCTCTAATGCCTCAACATCTTTCTTATTTCAGATACTTCATCCATCTTCTTTTTTCCTTCTGGTCTTATGAAGCCAGTTCTGACCATCTTATCAGTCACATCACTTTCTTTGTTTATTCAATAATCTGTATGGGAATTTGTATCTGATCATTTGTTGGTGTTGTTTTAAATTTACATTTGACAAGCTTCTTCTCTGAAGACCTTACATTTCCATCTGAAAGAAGTCATTGAACTTCACAATAACAGCAGGAAATTTCCATTGAGTCTGCTAGTTTTGCACTAGTGATACTTTTCTATTTCACACTACTTGACCTCTTGTCTCTAAAGGCTCTTGGATGGAATAGTCTCCTTTCCGCCAATTCTTGGACTGGTCAATTCCTCTTCTAAAAGACTAAGCCAAGGCCAAATTTCTCCTTCTACCTCCAAGCAGGCTGAGGTCTCCCTGCGCTATTATCCAATCCTATTCATTTCTCTCTTATTTCATTTACCACATGGAGTTTAATTGCTGTAATAGATGTGTCAGCTTTCTGAGAACAATTGCTTATTTTAACAGAGAGATGACTAGTTTCTTATTAACTTTGACAACCATCAAGTATCCCAGTGGCTACTACACAGCAGCTGCTTAATGTAATGTTGAAGACCTGAATAAAAACAGGACTATGGAAAAATGCCTGCATCAGAGTGGTCTCTGAATGTCTAATTGTCTCCCAGACTCCTTCCCAGTACTAAAATCATAGACTGAGCACTTCATGACAAATGTTCGATCCTTAGTTTGACTGGTCTTAGTTCTTCCAAGTAAGCCCAAGTAAGGTGGGATAATTCTTTCTTTTTCTTTTCTGCTTATGTTTCCTCAATCCTTTTTTAACTCCTGAGTAGCTTGGACAAAATAATTTGAAGTGGGTTACAAAGTCTTCCATCTACTTTTAAATTTTTTATTACATTTCAACCAAACATATTTTTCATCTCTTTATGGAATTGAAATAATGATGCAATTACAAAGCAGAGAAAGAAGTAAAGAAATATCTATTTTGACCACATACTATGCTCCTGACTGTGAGCTAGGGACTCTGGGTCTATTATCTCATTCAATTCTCCTGATAGCCCTAAAAGGGAGGTATACTTATTACCATTTTAAGATTTCAAAGAAAACGAAAACAAAATTCTGAAACACAGCTATATTCTTAGTGTGAGGGCTGACTAACTTTTTAAAGGACTGTGACCAATTGAAGTCATACGTTTTGCAGATAGGGAATTCTTTTAGACCAGTGCTAGGATTCTTTGCTATTGCCTGGTTGAAATTACCATGAAATGAGATTTTTCAAAAGGTCATTTCGTTTTGAGTTTTAGTGATTTATGGGAATGGAATTTACTAAAATTTAAACAATGCAGAAACTAAGAGATTGAAAGAAAAACAGAAATGTATAGAAATGGAGAAAAAGAAAGAAAACATAACTTATTTTAGAGAGAATAACTAGTAGGTCATGTAGCTCAATGCCTGATATTTATGTAGTTTCAGATTTATACTTTTGGAGGGTCAGTGGTATATACACACATATACAAATGAAATATTTTGGGGGAGAATTAGTGGCCTATTTATACATCGATCACTGAAAATTTTCAGCAGTGTGATAAAGAATCTCAATAAACATGGGTAAATCTTTTACCTCACCTGCCATGTCTCCTTATTTGTAAATAAGTGGCCTCAATAGATCCCCTGTGAAGACTTTTTCTACTCAAATATGTTGTGATTTTTCTAAAGCTTTTAGTTTTGACTACATTTTGATATAGTTATTAATTAACAGGGACATGACTAGTTTGTAGGAAAAGTCAGGAGAAGACTCTAAGAAATGTAACACCCAACAAACTGGAAAAAATTAGTCCCTTAATAAACAATAAATTATCTGACTTTTTATGAAGTAATTTCCATTCTTTTGATATTTACATATATTTTCAGGGTCCTTTTGTTTTTATATTTCTGAGCTCATTTCAATTATGTTAAACTTTAGAGATTTTCCCACAGAAGTGTTGCAAAATCTTTTAATGAGTTTGATAAGTAAAAAACTGCATTCAGAACTGGAATTATTAAAATTAACTTTAAACCTCTAAAGATATATTTCTAAGCAGATGGGAGACTATTTAGGCTATTAAACCTAATCCATAAATCACCATATAGGGTAATGAGACTTTAATGTTCTCTTCAATTTTTCCATTAATTTGAAGTGTCCAGAGCATTCAGATAAGTTATTTTGGTATAATCACTATGGAGCAAATAGGGCTCTG